CCACTGAGCCACCTTCCCAGCACCTCCCTGAGCTTTTTTGTTCAAAGCTATTGCTCTATCACTTTGAGCCACAGCTCCACTCCGGGGTTTCTGGTGGTTAACTGGCAATAAGACTCTCAGTGACTATCCGGCTCAGATTGGCTTTGAACCACAATTCTCAGATCTCTGCTTTCTTAGTAGGTTGGATTACAGGCATGAGCTACCAGCACCCAGCTCCTTGAGCTTTTTTTTTGGGGGGGGACCGGTCGTGGGGCCTGAACTCTGGGCCTGGGCTCTGTCCCTCAGCTCTTCAGCTCAAGGCTAGAGCTCTACCACTTGAGCCACAGCACCACTTCCGGCTTTTTTCTTTTTGCTTATGTGGTGCTGAGGAATCGAACCCAGGGCCTCAGGCATGCAAGGCAAGCGCTCTACCACTGAGCCACCTTCCCAGCCCCTTCTTGAGCTTTTTTTAACTCAAGGTTTGTGATCTACCATTTGAGCCATAGCTCCACTTCCAGGTCTTTGGTAAGCCTCATGATTGACAAATTAGGAAAAAAAAAAAAAGTCTCACGGGCTTTCCTGCTTAGGCTAGCTTCAAACCACGATCTTAAAGCCTCAACCTCATGAGTAGCTACTTAAACTCTTCTAGAGGGCTTCTTTGAAGCAGGAACCCCTCGGCCCCAGCCCCTGACTCAGCCGGCCTGGGCTTATATCCTCCTTCTCTAAGGGGCAGAAATCCCACAGAGCAGTAGGAGTTATAGCCCCATGGCTATAACTATAGGGATGTCTGCCTGCCAAGAGTGGGAACAGGCATCTAACATCTTTCTCAGCTCCCATATTCCTCTCACAAGACAACAATCAGCTAGCATTAGTGGAATTTCTCAGTGTGGCGAGGGCAATAGAAGGAGCAGCTTGCAAACCCCGGGGGAGCCTATGTGCAAGCTCAGATTTGGCCCTTGGATCAGCTTTGTAGGGTAAGGTCTGAACAGTGACCCCTCCCTCCCTCTGGGCTAAGTTTCTGTCCAGTATCTGTTACCTAGGTAACTGGCAGACCTGGAAGCAGTCACCTCCCTCCCCCCCCCACCCCCCAGGTCACAAGCCTCCTACCTGACCTTAGGAGGGTTTCAGACCCTGAGGTCACATCCAGATCCAGTGTGGGCCACACCTTTCCCTCACCTGGCCACACCTCTTCCAGTCCCTGGCCTAGATAAGTCTAGGCCCAGAGGTGGGTTCCCAACCCCCCCTTCCTTTTTAGTTATGCTTCTCTACCATGCATGGTGGGGGCAGCAGTTCGGTAAATAAACTTCTTTTCCTGCCTGAATACACGTGGCTTTCTATTCATCGGCTACCTAATGAAACCTACCTATTTAATATACCTTACCTGTAGAAAAGCAGAATTCTCCACAATAGTCTCGAAGTAACCAGAGAAATAAACAAATCCTATCCATTGTTGTTACACTGTCTTTTTAAATGTTCTATTTCTATTAAAAATGATCAGGTATGCAAAGAGATAGTAATCTTGACAACTAGGGGAAAAGGTGGCTTTTGTGAGTGAGGCCAGAGATCAGATTTAATAGATTTCAAATTACTAAGATAATAATAGTAACAACAACCACATGCAACAAATACAGTCTGTTAGAAGATAAGCCCTGTGGTAGAGGTAGGGAAGCTAGTGAAGGTGATTGAATAAAACGTGCAGTAAATTAAAAAGTGCAAAGATCCCTACAGTTGGTGGCTAGTGCCTGTAATTCCAGCTTCTCAAGAGGTTGGGATCTGAGGATCAGGGACTAAAGCTATCTTGGACAGGAAAATCCATGACACTTTAATCTCTAACAAACTAATCAAAATGCTGGAAATCGAGGTGTGGTTTAAGTGGTAGAGAGCAATCGTTGGGTCAAAAAACAAAGCTTAAGGACAGGGCCAAGACAATGGCAAGCGTATACATTAGTTATATACTTAGTATTTCATGGTGACATTTTCATACATGTTTATAAGGTATTCTATGCAGTATCTCTGCTTTGTCACGCTCCCTTCATTATGTTGTAAAATAGTTTCAACACGTTTCATTGTTTTATTATCATGCATGCAAATCATCAATTTTGACTATGTTTATTTTCTTTCTGTCAAAGTACTATACAAGCATTTATAAAAACAGAGCAATGAAATCTGTTGAAATTATTTTATGAAGGAGGGGGGATGAGGAAGAATTATTGAGTTCGATGAAGTAAACTGTATTCTTGTATTAAAATGTCACCATGAAACTCCCTGCACAACTAACATATTTTAATAAAAATATCTGTAAAAAAAAGAACTGTTAGTCAATATTCTACTTAATGGTGAAACCATATGTATTTATGCCCTAAAATCAGCAACAAGTTAAAGATATCTACTCTCACCACTTTTTTAAAAATTTTATTTATTTATTTATTGGGTCTGGTCATGGGGACTGAACTCTGGGCCTGGGCGTGTCCCTCAGTTCTTCAGCTCAAGGCTAGTGCTCTACCACTTGAGCCACAGTGCCACTTCTGGCTTTCTTCTTTTTGCTTATGTGGTGCTGAGGAATCGAACCCAGGGCCTCAGGCAGACAAGGCGAGCGCTCTACCACTGAGCCACCTTCCCAGCCCTATTCTCACCACTTTTAAGTTGCACTGTACAGCAGTAGCTAACAAGGTCAATTTGACAATAGAAATCTAAGTATCTATGTAGATAGGAAGGAGAGTAATTATCTTTTGTGCTGATAAACATTATCTTTTAATTTGTGCCATCCTGGGGCTAGAACTCTGGGACCACATGCTGTCTCAAGAGTTTTTTTACTCAAGGCTAGAGCTCTACCACTTGAGCTGCAGCTCCACTTCTGGCTTTTTGGTGGTTAACTGGAAATAAAATTCTCATGTACTTTCCTGCCCAGGCTAGTTTCCAACTGCAATCCTCAGAAATCAGCCTCAAGAGTAGCTAAGATTACAGGCAGCAGCCACTGTCTCCCAAAGCTAATATTATCTTTTATTTAGAAAATCACAAGAATTTACTAAAAATTATTATAGTCAATAACTGAGTTCAATGAAGTAACAGGATAAAATATTCATTTACAAAATAATTGAGCTTGGCAGTATTTTCACAATAAAAAAAATAATTGAGCTTGGGGCTGGGAAGGTGGCTCAGAGGCAGAGTGCTTGCCTTGCATGCATGAGGCCCTGGGTTTGATTCCTCAGCACCACATAAGAAAAAAGAAAAAAGCCGGAAAGGGTGCTGTGGCTCAAGTGGTAGAGCGCTAGCTTTGAGCTGAAGAGCTGAGGGACAGCGCCCAGGCCCAGAATTCAGGCCCCACGACCGGACCCCCCAAAAAATAATTGGGCTTATATATGTGAGCAGTGAACAATTTAAAAATAATGTAGGGAGTCCATTCTATTTACACTTGTATAAAGATAAAACAGTTAGGGCTGGGAAGGTGGCTTAGTGGTAGAGTGCTTGCCTTGCATGCATGAGGCCCTGGGATCGATTCCTCAGCACCACATAAACAGAAAAAGCCAGAAGTGGCCCTGCGGTTCAAGTGGCAGAGTGCTAACCTTGACCAAAAGCAGCTTAGGAACAGCGCCCAGGCCCTGAGTTCAAGCCCTAGGACTGACAAACAAACAAACCCTTAGAAATAAATGTATCAAAAATGTAACCTTAAAAAATGAAAACTACTCTACACAACTAGTCTTGGAAGCTCCCCAGATTTTACTTGATCCTTATCTCCTTGCCTCTGAGGAATTTACTTTCAAATTTTACAGAAAGAAATTATTTCTTCTTTCTTTTATATTACTATACATGCTCTCAAATTGAAGTTTATACATACAAATAGGCCCCATAATTTCCATTTTTTTGAGGAATAGGTCAGGTTCACAAAAAGAGGCATAGAGAACCCATACACTTGAGGACTGAATATCAAGAATGAAAGTTTCCTACCCAGTTCTTACCAATCATGTTGTATATAGTGGATCATCCAAAATGACAGGAAACCTTTAAGAGAGAAGTAGGGGATCTAAGATATGAGGGAGGGAGACAATATATTTATTCCACAGTCTAATGGATAAGGTCTGGTAAGACAAGTCTGTGGTCTCTTAGATATGTAGCCTAGAGTTATTGAGAGGGACTTTTAGGATCAGAGAAGAGGTAGGAATTCAAAACAAAGTAAGGCATGCAAAATGGAAAAAACAAAAACAGACTAGATTGGAGTAAGTGATAAAGCTCATCAACATAGGCTTTCCCTAAACTTCACTCCTCTGCCCAAATCCACATTCATCCTGATCCCCCCCCAAACCACCATCTCTTTGAAGAGCAATGGAGGTGATGCATCATACTCTAAGAAACTTCTGTGAGGAAACTTTTCACTAGTCAGTTTTTTTTTTTGGGGGGGGGTCCGGTTATGGGGCCTGAACTCTGGGCCTGGGCACAGTCCCTCAGCTCTTCAGCTCAAGGCTAGCGCTCTACCACTTGAGCCACAGCACCATCTGGCTTTATTCTTTTTGCTTACAATGGTGCTGAAGAACCCAGAGCCTCAGGCATGCAAGGCAAGCGCTCTACCACTGAGCCACCTTCCCAGCCCTGAAACTTTTCACTAGTTTAGCTGAAGAAGGAGAGCACAGCAAAGGCTCACAGACAGTGCCCAGCATCTGAGGACCAACAGCAAAAAGAAAGAAAGAAAGAAAAAAAAAACCTTTAAAGGAAAGGCAATATTTAGAAACAAATAACCATACACATCTTAAGATTTCATGGATGGAATCTGGGAGTTTTGGGGAAATTAATTGTTCGATTTTGAGAAATCTAAATTGACAGGAGGCTTATACTGCCTAGTTATCTAACAATCCTGCTATTTTATTCCAGTGTATACATTAGAGCCTTGGAAAATGGTTCAACAATCAGTTGACTGGAGATAAAAGCCAGCTTACCTAATGCTCCCTCCCAATACATTTCCATTTTCTGGTTGGTCTCACAATGTTTCAGGAGGCACACAGTGATTTTCAAAACAAAACTCATCTTACCTCCCACAGCTTGGAGAGCAATGTCCAAATGCACGGACTGCCAGGACCTAGGGTCGGGGACGGGTCACACCCCCGCGACAATTCCGTGGCTTCCGGAACGGCGCGGTGCATTGTGGGAGTTGTAGTCTCCACTGGAGAAAAGAGCCTCTGAAAGTGTGGGTTTGGGGGAGAGAGAGACAGAGAGAGAGAGAGATAGACAGACAGACAGACAGACACAGAGAGAGATAGAGAGAGTCAGAGAGAGAGAGAGAAAGAGCGAGCGAGAGCGCGCGCGAGCACAGGCCGGAAGATCCCTTTTGCGCATGCGCCTTCCCGCCCACTGTGGGTGTGTTCAGTCTGCAAATTCGGGTTTGCTTCCTTCTCGCTTGCCGCTGCTGGAAATGCTCTGAAGAACAGCTTTGCAGTCCGCAGTTCGAGCTCCAGGGCTGGCGCCCGGCCTCTCTCCGGTGGACCTGCGGAGCTGTAAGTTGAGGGGATCTCATGCTGCAGTGGCGATATCAGGTACGAATTGTGAGCTGGGCTCCGGACCAGAGTCCACCATCCACGTGTTCCTCGGGTCTGCGCTTGATGATTTGCTTGGGGTTCGTGAGTTTGTGCTGCCATTAGCCCGTGTGCCTGCAGATGCCACAATCTGGCTCCCGAGCTCCGAGAGCAAGTTGGGGGTTTCTCCAGACCTGGAGAGTCAGGAGCTGTGCATTTATATTCCATGTTCAAGAGGTTTTGCTGTTAACCTATGTGACTCGATTCACTTTCCCTCGCTGTAAGAAGAGCACGGTAACAATTCTAGTGAAATTGTGAAGTGTGTGCCTGCCTGGAGCCCTCTTACAGTGCGAGGGACTGACTCTGCGTTGTTTCTCCTAGAGGGGTCTCCACTTTGCTCCCTCTTGTCTTGTTAGCCTCCTTAGCACTCCTGGCTTGAGTTCATATGTGTTTGTACATAACCTTGTTTCTAGAGACAGTTCTACAAGGGGTATTAGTGTTTGATGGTTCTAGTTTGTTTGTTTGTTTTTTTTAAGGTCGTGGAGCTTGAACTCTGGGCCTGGACGCTGTCCCTCAGCTCTTCAGCTCAAGGCTAGCGCGCTACCACTTGAGCCACAGCATCACTTTTGGTTATCTAGTGGTTAATTGGAGATAAGAGTCTCATGGACTTTCCTTCCCCGGGCTGGCTTTTCACCACGATCCTCAGATCTCAGCCTCCTGAGTAGCAAGGGTTACAGCGTAAGCCACCGGTGCTGGGCAATGGTTTTGTATTTTTAGGGATGAATGAAGACTAGCCATGTTTGAAGGAGGGCACCCTATGAATAGACCTTGTCTACTCTGACAAGTCCTACAGAGCAGAGGCAGAAAAGCTCAGGAAGGGGAAGATGTTTTTACCTTCCCTTGCCTTAAACAACAATTGGTTCTACTTCCCAGAGCACAAGATTTACATGATGCTGTTTCCTCCAACACTCTTGATCACTTGGTGCTGTTGGAAGGTTTAGACTAACTTTCTGGAGAGGAGAGGGGTTGGCCTGAGGAATGAGGGAAAGCCTAGTTATCAGAGATGACATGAAGCTGTGGTTTGAAATGGAGAGATAACTATCATAACTGAAAGTATCTGTCTATGTACTAATCCCTAATCCTATTCTCACAAATTTATTCAGCCTCTTCCCACCATCATTTCTAGTACATGATCTCTTAAACTTATCCCAAATGTCTCATCTATGGATTTGCTAATGCTAGCTCTAACATGTTAGTTCAGGAAGTGTTGGTCAGGAATCTTTGGCCTAAGAAAAGTTGCAGAAGTAAACTTGAGGTAATATATCCTGCTCAAGGTTGTAGGCTTTGTAGATGTTACATATCCTGAAGTTTTAGCTAGTGTTATCCATTTTGCCATATTCTGCTGAAAGAAGTATTATTTCACTTAGGAAATCTTTTTGGAAATTGAAGTCAAGGAAACAAAAGCATTTTTTTTTAATTTTATTTTTTTGTCAGTCGTGGGTGGGGCTTGAACTCTGGGCCTGGGTGCTGTCCCTCAGCCCTTCAGCTCAAGGTGAGCACTCTACTGCTTGAGCCACAGCGTCACTTCCGGTTTTCTAGTGGTTTATTGGAGATAAGAGTCTCATGGACTTTCCTGCCCAGGCTGGCTTTGAACCACAATCCTCAGATCTCAGCCTCCTGAGTAGCTAGGATTACAGTTGTGAGCCACTGGCGCCCGGCAGCATTTCTTAAAAATATATTAAACATGTTGATCCAGTTTTTACACTCTGCACTTCTTATACCTTTTGCAAATCCATGTTAATAACATGGATATACTACACTTTATTCATCTCTTCTTGACAAATTACAATTTCTCCACTATAATCATGAGCCTATTTTACATCACTTAAAATGAGAGAGACTAGCTGGGTGCTGGTGGCTCTTGCCTGTAGTCCTAGCTACTCAGGGGGCTGAAATCTGAGGATGGAGGTTCAAAGTCAAAAAAGTCCGTGAAACTCTTATCTCCAGTTAACCACCAGAAAACGGAAGTGATGCTGTGGCTCAAGTGGTAGAGTGGTAGCCTTTAGCTGAAGAGCTCAAGGATAGCACCCAGAGTTCAAGCCCCAGGACTGACAGAGAGAGAGAGAGAGAGAGAGAGAGAGAGAGAGAGAGAGAAAGAGAGAGGGGGGGATAGAGAGGGAGAGAGAGGGAGGGGGGAAGAGAGGAGAGAGGGAGAGAGAGGGAGAAAGGGAGGGAGGAGACTGCCTAAAGGTATATTCCAAACAATTGATAAAATATATTTTAAATACAATACAGTGCTCTTTTTCTGTGTGCTAGTCCTGGTTCTTGAGCTCAAAGTCTGGGTACTGACCCATGAGCTTCTTTTGCTGAAGGCAAATGTTCTACCACTTAAGCCATGTCTCTAATTATAGCTATTTTTGATATTTTAATGGAGATCAGAGTCCTCAGACTTTCCTGCCCCAGCTTGCTTCAATCTGGGATCAGTTATAGCCATGAGCCATCAGAGCTCAGTTACAATACCCTCTTTAAAATTCAGATTATATTTCTAATAAAATAATCTGAAAAGCTGGGCGCTGGTGGCTTATGCCTATAATCCTAGCAACTCAGGAGGCTGAGATCTGAGGATTGCGGTTCAAAGCCAGCCTATACAGGAACATCTATGCCTCCATCAGAAAGAATTACATCGTGGGGCTGGGAAGGTGGCTCAGTGGTAGAGCGCTTGCCTTGCATACCTGAGGCCCTGGGTTCGATACCTCAGCACCATATAAGCAAAAAGAAAAAAGCTGGAGGTGGCGCTGTGGCTCAAGTGGTAGAGCGCTAGCATTGAGCTGAAGAGCTGAGGGACAGCGCCCAGGCGCAGAGTTCAGGCCCCACAACCGGACCCCCCCCCCCAAAAAAAAAGAAAGAATTACATCGCCCCATTTGTTAGGAAATGGAAAGACTTGGAAAAAGTAAGTAAGTAAGCCAGGCCCAAAGAAACATAGATCCCATTGTTTCCCTTATTTGCAATAGTTTGTATATGTATGGGACAAGTAGAAAAGGTCAAAAGCTATGTACATATGAGCAGATAAGATGAAGTTAAGCGAAATGAACCCCAAGATAGGGACACAAGTGGTTTTTTCTTTCTTGCTATTGTTTCTAACTTGTGACATCCATGAGACTCTTATCTCCAATAAACCACCAGAAAGCTGAAAGTGGCTCTGTGGCTCAAGTGGTACAGCACTAGCCTTGAACTGAAGAGCTAAGGGACAGCACCTAGGCTCTGAGTTCAAGCCCCACGACCGACCAAAAATAAAAAAATCCGAAATAGCAAACTTCAAGTTTTTAAGGAGAGATGTTCAGTCATTACTGTTTATAAGGACAGTCCTGTAATAACCAGCAGGGGCTGAAGGCCTCCCCAACATTGCCCCTTGGGCCAGCCCTCCTCCAGTAGCAGTTGGGCTTGGGAGGAATAGCCGTTGGAGTGGGGGCAGGGCCAATGGGAGGACTAGCCGTTGGAGTGGGGGCAGGGGCACAGCCTATATATAGGCTGCAGTGCTCCAAGGAAAGGGGTGGTGGAAAAGACAGAAGAGGACAAAAGAAGAGAGCAGAAGCAGCAGCCTGAGAGAAGGCAAGAGGCCTGAGGCCTGTGGGAAGGTGAGAAACCTTCGGAGCGGCCTTCTGGAAGGCAAGAAGCCTGAAGCCTGTGGTGAGGTCTGCAAGAAGATGAGAGTCCTGGAGGGCTGTACAGAAGGAGGAAGGGAGGAATAAAGATCAAGGTTGCCCCTTTGGAGGCTTGGAGGGTTTGCAGACCGACTAATGGGAGGTGTGTGTGGCTGTCCTTTGGAGGTTTGGAGGTCGAGCCTGCCCTTGGTTCTAGGTAGCTAGCCCAGGACAAGGTAGTCACAGGTCCCTTTCTAGTGTAAATAAAATTCTTTTGTCACTTTTAACTGTGCCTCTGTGGATTGTCTCGATCCAGGGTCATAATGTTCCAAATCCCAAATGAAAAAGAAAATATTCCACCCTGAAATCTGTAACACTCCTTGTTTCAAGTATTGTGATTATGGACACTTAGCCTATAATAAAATCTTAAGTCTTTTTTCAGAGTAAGAAAACATTCCTGTGATGTAGAGAAACCCAATACTAATGTGCAAACATTGCTTTTAATAGTTCCTGTTATCTTTTCTAGCAAAAACAACCTCACTGAAGTCTACAGAGTACTTTTTCAGTTTTTGTAGATGCCACTGTAAAGTTCATATTTTATTGTAAGAGTTTCCATTCTATGAAATTGTGTCAGAAACAAAGCAGAACTGTGGGTAATAGCATTTTCCCGTGTAATAAACTAACCAACAAGCATAAGCAAAAGCACATAGGTATTTATTTAAGTTTTATGGATATACATTTTGGGGTGTCCTCAGCTTGGTATTTTGTGGTAATATTGTTTAAGTAACATAAGATTTTAATCTTTTGGTTCTTTGGCTGTGGTTGTTGGTTGGGACAGTGTAAATCCTATGAGTAGTATTTCATGTTGCATATTTATTACGACCTGTGTCTCCAGCAGGATTGCCAAAGTTCTTCATATGACTGTTTAGGAAAGTGAGCATTATGGACTTCTCAAACCATCATCTTTACTGATGTCTCTTTGGCCAGAGCAGGTTAAATGGCAAATTTCAAGTTATTGCTCAAGGGTCCTCTGAGCATTTGGATATAGGGAAATGTGTCAGTGGCAACCGTTATTAAAAGATTATAACACAAGAAGTATGTATTATATATATTTTTCCTGTATAAGTTGGGGTGAAAAATACTGAGTTATAGTATACATGCTTTCTATGGTGTTTAAAATGTAAATGAAGTAGGTAGAGTACAAATGCTCAATGGAGTCCTAGGATACCTTTGCTTTAAAACAAAAATAGTTCATACATCCCTAAGTATATTTCAGTAGTAACTAGTTTTAGTGAAGATGTGATTTTTTTTGTTTCAGTTATTTTTATGGGAACATTAGTTTTTATGTATATTAACCCAGAAATGCTTTGCTTTTATAATATCTATTTCCCAACTAATGAACTGTGGATTCATCTTTTTTTTTTCCGGTCATGAGGCCTGAACTCTGGGCCTGGACGCTGTCCCTCAGCTTTTCAGCTCAAGGCTAGTGCTCTACCACTTGAGTCACAGCGCCACTTACAGCTTTTTTTTTGCTTATGTCGTGCTGAGGAATTGAACCCAGGGCCTCATGCATGCAAGGCAAACACTCTACCACTAAGCCACCTTCCCAGCCCTGTGGATTCATCTTTAATGGAGGTTTTAATGTTCTACTTGAGACATAAAAGATTCTTCTTCAATAAGAAGACTATGTTTTTCCAGCCCATGTATAATGTTTTGAGAAGGAAAATCTGGGGCAAAATCACATAGGTCCTTTCCTGACTACCTCGTTTGCTTTCTCAGCCATGTTTCCAGAATCTTCTGTTCATTGTCAACCGTCGGAAATAATGAAAGGATCGCTGGTGAGTTGCTTTTTATTTGTCACTTTGTTTTACATTCCATTTTATGAGCCTAAGGGTATCCAAGACTTGAAAAACAGAAAAACAGATTCAGCTTTAGGATCATGTTCATAAATATAGCATGTAGATTTAGGAGATTATAAAATCTTACGTTCTGTCTAATTTGAATCCAGACTTGCATAAGATTTTTTCTGTTTTATTCTGATGTGAGAAAAAATAGTATGTTATTCAGTGATGTCAAGGAGTTAACTTCTCATGGAAGGTGAAGGTTCACCAGCAATGGGTCAGAGATAACATTGTCATGAGTTTAACAAACTGTCTTAATGAAGTTTTACTGGAGTTGCTGAAATAGTGTGGGCACACACATATTGGAATGTTCTAGAGGACTGAGTCACCTATAGGCTCCTCAGTTCTCCATACATCTTTTTTTTTGCCAGTCCTGAGGTTTGAACTCAGGGCCTGGGTACTGTCACTGAGCTTTTTTTGCTCAAGGCTAGCACTCTACCACTTGAGCCATAGCACCACTTGTTTTTTTCTGTTCATGGGGTACTGAGGAATTGAACCCATGGCTTCATGCATGTTAGGCAAGCACTGTACCACTAAGCCATATTCTCAGCCCTATACATACTTCTTGGACTGATTTTTGGTCTTTGTTTTACTTGAAACTTATGCTATATTTGATGATACAGTGTATGGTCTTTTTAGAAATCTGTCCATTTCATTCTAAGGTATCTTCATAAGACTTTTTTTCTTAAATTTCCTTTCCATTCTCTGTTTCCTGCTCACTAGCTTTCTTTATTTCTCTCTTTGTATCTATTTTTATCTGTATTTTTTTTCTCTTTCTTTCTCTCAGTCCCTATTTCCTCTACCTGTCTCTCACTTTTTACTTTTCTTCAAATGCTCCATCGGGAACCTGTTTTTCTTTTCTTTTTTTTAATTGTGAAAATACCATACAGAGGGGTTACAATTACATGGGCAAGGTGATGAGTACATTTCTTATTAAGCATTGTTGCCTCCTCCTTTTCTCCTTCCCATCCCTTCTCATCTCCCGGGAACCTTTTTTTCTTACTGATCAATTTGCCTTTACTGACGTGACACTTAGAGTTGACATTTTTTTTTACCTATTAAATAGCAAAGTTGTTGTTGACTATAACCCAAGGCAGTTCTGTGGGATTCCAGAACCAAAGAAAATTAGAAAAACACAAGGACATATACAGGTAGTAAGATGGGGGGAAATTAATAACCCCAAGGCATACTAGCACTTGGGCACCAGTCCCCACAAGCAAGCTTGAGTTTACACAGGGAAGGTTACCATGGATACATGTATATTAATATTATATTATTTATTATATTATTTTATATTATATTAACTATATTATAATCTGAGCTAAAACAGAGATACTTGTTCCCTTGTTCTTTTGAGAGGAGACTGCAGCCCAGAGAAAGTCAAGACAAGAAGTCCACCTTACCTAGCCTTCAAGGTCAACAGCTCCCAAGGTTCAATTCCCAGCCTTTCCATCACTAAGGAAGGGGTGTGGCACTCCTTAACTCTCCGTACTGTTGTCTGTTTTAACCCTTCGGTGGCCAGCTCTCAGCATAATGAATGCTGTTGGCATGGAGTTCCAACCTCTCAATCCTTTTCCATTTTTTGCTCAACTTCAGAATTCCCTACAGAACATTACTACCTTCTACCCATTGATACACAGCCAAAAAAATGGATTTTTCCCCATTCTATTGTTTTTGGTCTAAACTCAATTGATGTGGTGCTGTAATTTTTTTCTTCTCCTTCCATTTGAATATTTTCATTCACTGCCACTATAGGAGAGAAGCTGGTTTTGATAATAAACAATACAATGACTAGGTTTTTTTTTTTTTTGCTTTTTTTTGGGGGGGGGTCGGTCATGGGGCTTGAACTCTGGACTTGGGCGCTATCCCTGCGCTCTTCAGCCCAAGGTGAGCGCTCTACCACTTGAGCCACAGTGCCACTTCTGGTGTTCTAGTGGTTTATTGGAGATAAGAGTCTCATGGACTTTCCTGCCCTGGCTGACTTTGAACCGGGATCCTCAGATCTCAGTCTCCCGAGTAGCTAGGATTATAGACATGAGCTACTGGTGCCCGGTGTGATTAGAGTTTTTAATATTTCAAATATCACTGGTGATAAAATCTCACAAACATTTGCTCAGTCATAGACATTTCAGGAGGGAGAGGAGGCGGGATCCTGGTGTGGGTTCCTCCTGGGCCCGGCCCCAGTGTGGTGGTGCAGTACGAGCTAACATGTGTGGTATTGTATCCTTAGAAATCTACTGGGAGAGGGGCTGGGAAGTTGGCTCAGTGGTAGAGCACTTGCCTTGCATGCCTGAGGCCCTGGGTTCGATTCCTCAGCACCACATAAGCAAAAAGAAAAAAGCCGGAAGTGGCGCTGTGACTCAAGTGGTAGAGCACTAGCCTTGAGCTGAAGAGCTGAGGGACAGTGCTCAGGCCCAGAGTTCAGGCCCCATACCGGACCAAAAAAAAAAAAAAAAAGAAATCTACTGGGAGAAATGATTCAGGAATATGTGACACACTTGAACAATAGTGAAAAGATGTAAAAAACTGAAAGCAGGATTCACAGATTATAATAATTTGTATCTTTTCTCCATGTGTGTTTCTTATTAATACTATTTGTAGTGTATGTTTCCAGTTAAAAACTATTTTAATATGTTTCCAAACACTTTTAATTTGGTATTCCAATAGGAAAAATAGATATGTCACTGACATCTGATAAAATTCACAGAATCTAAAATTTGATTTTTCCACATTCCCTTTGAAGACAGGTCTTGCTGTGTAGTCCAGAACTCTTGAATTTATGTCACCTAGCCTGGCTGGTAATCCTTCTTGAGTTTCCCAAGTTTAGGGAGTATAGATGTGTTCTAGCCTCTGTAGCTACATTAGCCATTCTTAAATGTACAATTCACTGATATTACCTATGCCCATATTGTACAGCCATCCCTTCCATCCATCTACGTATTTTTCATCTTCTACGTGTGAAGCTGTATAATCATTAAATAGGCAGCTCCTCCTCCCCCTGTACCAGTTCACTGGAACCATCTTACTTTTTTGCTCTCTGAGTTTGTTGATCCTTGGAAGCTTATTAAAGGAAATCATACCATGGCTGTTCATTAAAAACTGGTGGATTTTATTTAGCACATTGCATTCAAGTTTCATCCCTGTTGTAAAATTTTCTCCTTTTTTTAACATTGATCTATTGTTTACATGCTTCTGTCTTTTGGTTATTATGAAGTTATGTGAAGTGATCCTCCTCCCTTGTGGTAGCAACAAGTCATCAGCCTGTTCTTTTTTTTTTTTTTCCGGTCATGGAGCCTGAGCTCTGGGCCTGCGTGCTGTTCCTCAGCTCTTCAGCTCAAGGCTAGCACTCTACCATTTGAGCCACAGCACCATTTCTGGCTTTTTCTGCTTATGTGGTGCTGAGGAATCGAACCCAGGGCCTCATGCATGTGAGGCAAGTGCTCTGCCACTGAGCCACCTTCCCAGCCCCTGCATTTTATTTCTAATAATTATAACTTCTTCTAACTATGGTTGATTTTCTTCACTAAGGAAATAGTTTAGGCTAGCACCTCTCAATGGAGGAATTGTTTAATTTATTGTAACAATAGAGGTGCTGTACAGAGGGATTACAATTACATGTGTCAGATAATGAGGACACTTCCTTTCATACAGTGTCTTCCATTCCTTCATTCTTTCCCAGTCCCTCCCTCTCATCTCTACCCACCAGTTGTATAGTTTACTTTCCTCAGTGTCTAATGACCTCCACTGCTGTGCTTTCTCACCCTATTTTCCTTGAGTTCTATGGCTTTCCCTACCCTCCAGAAGATATACACCATACATAATCAAAAGCTTTTGTTTTCACTTCAAAGGTGAAGTAAGAAAGTGGTTACCTTTAACATTCTATAAATCACAGTGGTAGAGTACATTTCTTCCAGATCTTAAAATGCAGGTGTATTATTAATGAATTATCATTTCCTGAAAATACCTTCAATCTTCAATGGATTGTGAATTGCAGGTTACTTTCTTTCAAAACTTTACAGTACATTTCCTTTTTGTGTATTGTGCAGCATTCTCCTCTGGTATTTTCAAGCATGGCTGGATTGGGACGATTGTTAGCCATTCTTCATTTGTAATGGGTTCAATGTGAGAGTCAAAAATCTTCCTTTAGAGGAGGCTGCAATGCTTGATAAGAAATGTACTCATTATCTTGCCCATGTAATTGTAACCCCTGTGTACAGTATGTTCACAATTTAAAAAAAATCTTCCTTTTAGCCTCTACACAACAAATTAATACTGTATTTAATTCAAACTTTAAAAAATTTCTTCTGTTTTTTTAGGTCATTTCCCTCTTTTTTGCTTTTCTCTCTCCTGCTTGTGGTGGTTAAATTTCTATTTTTGTCATCTTGAATGTTTCATAAACCTCTATTTATTTGCCTCCATCCTTCCCTCAAGGCTTATTGAAAATCAAATCCCAACCCACCTATATTTTGTATTGTAGGAGGTAGGTGATACTCACAAAATTTCATGCTAGCATTTCTTTTTTACTTAGGAAGGCAGCATCAAGGTATCTGTGACCACACTTCAATCTTTAGAAATTTAAAAACAAAATGATTAACATAGGTTATTTTTATTGTGGGAATGAAGTCAAATCTTTTTTTTTTTATTGTAAAATACTGTCCAGAGGGGTTACAGTTACATGAGTAAAGTGATAAGTACATTTCCTATCCAGCATTGTTACCACTTCCTTTGTTTTTCCCCTACCATCCCTTCCCTCTCCACCTCCTCACCTCCCCAGCTCTTGACACCCCCCCTCCAGGGCCCTCCCCCCTGTCCCCGAAGTTGTAAAGTTGGTTTTCAACATACTGTCTTGTACATCTCATTGTTACAATGGGTCAACCTGTATCCCTATTTAAGCATTTTGTTTTTTCCCTTCTCCTCCCCAAATTAGAAAAATGTATATACAAGATGCAGACCACTGGAATCAAATACAGTGAAAACAGGGGTTATACTGTAGAGGAAGAACATACCAAAGAAACAAAAAAAATCACTTAGTACATTATAAATACATTAAAAACAATAGCAAGAAAGAAAAAACCCTTTGTTTCCCAGTCTTGGGGTTCATTTCACTTAACATCAAACATCATCTATTATCTTTTGACCTTTTCTGTTTGTCCTAAACTTATACTAGTAATTGCAAATAAGGGAAACCATGGGACCTATGTTTCTTTGGGCCTGGCTTACTTCACAATATAATTTTTTCCAAGTCTTTCCATTTCCTAACAAATGGGGCTATGTCACTCTTTCTGATGGAGGCATAGAATTCCATTTTATAAATGTACCACATTTTTTTGATCCATTCATCTTCTGAGAGGCATCTGGGTTGGTTCCATGTCTTAGCTATGGTAAATAATGCTGCGATAAACATAGTTGTTTGGTAGCTTTATTATACCTTTTTTTATGATCGTTTGGGTAAATGCCCCGAAAGTGGGATTGCTGGTTCATATGGGAGCTCTATTTGAAGTCTTTTGAGGAACCTCCATACTGCTGTCCAAAGTGGTTGAACAAGTTTACACTCCCACCAACAATGCAGTAGGGTTCCCTTTAGGCCACATCTCTCCAGCATCTGTTGTTTTGTTATAGATTTCTTGATTATAGCCATTCTAACTGGGGTGAGGTAGAATCTCAATGTTGGTTTTGTTTTGTTTTTTTTTGGGTCTGGTCGTGGGGCCTGAACTCTGGGCCTGGGCGCTGTCCCTCAGCTCTTCAGCTCAAGGCTAGCGCTCTACCACTTGAGCCACAGTGCCACTTCCATTTTTTTTCTTTTTGCTTATGTGGTGCTGAGGAATCCAACCCAGGGCCTCATGCATGCAAGGCAAGCGCTCTACCACTGAACCACCTTCCCAGCCCTCAGTGTTGTTTTGATTTGCATTTCTTTTATGGCTAGACAAGTTGAGCATTTCTTCATGTGTCTATTGGTCATTCTTATTTCCTTTTCAGAGAAGTTTCTCTTTTTTAGCCCACTTGTTTATTGGGCAGTTGTTTCTTTGAGGATTTATTGTTGGGGGATTTAATTTTTTGAGTTCTAGGTATATTTTAGATATGAGACCCTTGTCCATTGTATGGCTAGTGAAGATCTTCTCCCAGTCTATGGGCTTTCTATTGATCTTGCTAGCTATGTCCTTTGCCATGCAGAAGCTCTGCAGCTTCATGTAATCCCATTTGTCCGACCTTTCTTTGATTTGTTGTGTTTCTGGGTCTCTTTTAAGAAAATTTCGGCCTGTGCCAGGGAGACCTAGAGTTTCTTCTATTCCTTCCTGTAATTTTTTTTTTTTTGGTCCAGTTGTGGGGCCTGAACTCTGGGCCTGGGCGCTGTCCCTCAGCTCTTCAGCTCAAGGCTAGCGCTCTACCACTTGAGCCACAGTAGTGCCACTTCCATTTTTTTTCTTTTTGCTTATGTGGTGCTGAGGAATCCAACCCAGGGCCTCATGCATGCAAGGCAAGCGCTCTACCACTGAGCCACCTTTCCAGCCCCCTTCCTGTAATGTTTGCAAGGTGTCTGCTTTGACTCCGAGGTCTTTGATCCATTTGGAATTGATTCTGGTGCAGGGTGATGTATAAGGATCTGGCTTTAGTTTTCTACAAGTGATTAACCAATTTTGCCAGCACCGTTTACTGAAGAGGCTGTCTTTCTTCCATTCTATTTTTTAGCTCCCTTATCAAAGATTAGGTGGCTATGGGCCTGTGGGTTCATTTCTGGGTTTTCAATTCTATTCCATTGGTCCTGAGGTCTGCTCTTGTGCCAGTACCAAGCTGTTTTGATTACTATGGCTTTGTTGTAGAGTTTGAAATTTGGTATTGATATTCCTCTAGCACTGTTCTTTCTGTTAAGGATCGTTTTTGCCATTCGGAGTCTTTTATTGTTCCATATGAATTTTTGGATTGCTGCTTCTATTTCCTTGAAGAATGAGGTTGGAATATTGATAGGTATCACATTGAATTCATATATAGCCTTTGGAAGTATTGCCATTTTCGTGGTGTTAATCCTCCCAATCCAGGAGCATGGGAGGTTTTTCTACTTCCTAAATTCTGTTTTAATTTCCTTTTGCAGGTTTTTATAGTTTTCATCGTAGAGGTCCTTCAATGAAGTCAAATCTTACCAAAGCAACTATTATCTACTTTGAGTACTGTTACTTCCTTTAACATTCACCTGGGAATTATGTTTTTTCAAGATCTACTAATATGTATTTAATGTGATGTTCTGATTGCCTATGAGAGCACTTTTTTTGTTTTATTTTGTTCGTTTTTAAATAAGTTTTTATTGTAAAAATATTGTACAGAGGGGTTACAGTTACATGAACAAGATCATGAGTACATTTCCTATCAAGCATTGTTACCTCCTCCTTTGTTTTTCCCCTACCCTTTCTTCCCTCCCACCTCCACAACTACAGAGTGTAGTTTAGTAGAAGATCTAAACAGGCTTTTAATAGAAGATCTAAACAGGCTTTTCAGTTAGGCAAAGTATGAAAATGCAGGAAAAGTTCGTTTATTGTTACCCTGGTATGTAGTAAATTTTAGCAAAATAAGCTAAATACACTCTTTCAGACGCCTACTTAGACTTAATGTTGTTTTGCCAGATTATTAGCTCATATCTCTATTGCTAGCACCAGAAATGTGTTCTCACGTGTATTTGTAACTTTGTATTTGTAACTACCAAGTTCATATGGAGGCAAATCTTTCTACTTTGATTTTTCTTTCTCTCACTGTATAGGTAACAGAGTAAGTTCCAAACATTTTATTTAAGAAAAAAGCATTCATGTATAAGAATGAAATTTCAGACTTGGTGTTCTCATGACTCAGGGCTAATTAATGATGGAAATGTGCCATTTCAGAAGTTGGTGTCCTTTGATGAGGTGGCTGTGGATTTCAGCTGGGAGGAGTGGCAGGACTTGGATTTTTCTCAGAGGACCCTGTACAGAGATGTAATGCTGGAGACCTACAGCAACCTGGTGTCCTTAGGTGAGCAAACGTCCTATTAACTTGCAAGGTCAAGTGCTTTGTTTTTGTAGATATATGAATATTTATGGGGTTTCTTTTGGTGTTTTTTTTGGGGGGGTCCGGTCATGGGGCCTGAACTCTGGGCCTGGGCGCTGTCCCTCAGCTCTTCAGCTCAAGGCTAGCGCTCTACCACTTGAGCCACAGTGCCACTTCCAGCTTTTTTCTTTTTGCTTATGTGGTGCTGAGGAATGAACCCAGGGCCTCAGGCATGCAAGGCAAGCGCTCTACCACTGAGCCACCTTCCCAGCCCCAATATTTATGTTATTTAGGTATAAGATTCCAGTCCATGGGAAGTGTCACTTTTTTTTTTTTTAAGAAAAACTTCAACTTTATGTAACTCCTGAGGCAGTTTTATTCTTATTCTTCAAGAAGCCATACCTTTAGAACAAAGGTTCTAAACTATGTATATCACTACTAGAAGTATGATCTAGTTTGACACTGGATGCCTGTAATCCTAGCTAATCAGGAGGATAAAATCTTAATATTTTGGTTTGAAGCCAGCAATGTGTATGAAGTACCCATGAGACTCTTCTATCCAATTAACCACTCCCAAACTGGAAGTGGAGCTGGGTCTCAAACTGGTAGAATGCTAGCCTTGAGCAAAAGAACTGAATTGAAACCATATAACTGGCAAAATAAATCCAAAGCTGGGAGAAAGTCAACCATGGAGCTGGTGAGAAATAAGAAACAGGATGTCTGAGATCTTAAAGCAATGATGACCCAACATGAGCAATAGGTCTCCACTTTTTTTTTTTTTTTTTTGTCAGTCATGGGGCCTGAACTCTAGGCCTGGACGCTGTCACTCAGCTCTTCAGTTCAAGGCTAGTGCTTTACCACTTGAGCCACAGTGCCACTTCTGGCTTTTTCTGTTTATGTGTACTGAGGAATCGAACCCAGGTCCTCATGCATGCAAGGCAACCACTCTACTACTGAGCCACCTTCCCAGCCCAGGTCTCCACTATTTCTTAATAACAGGTCACTGTGTTCCTAAACCTAAGTTGATTGTCAAGCTGGAGCAAGGTGCAGAACCATGGATAGGAGAAGCCTCAGACAAGAATTTCACAGGTAAGATAAAGCATCTTGTATAGATGTTGAAGCCAGAACCAAGTTGGTAAGTTCATGATCCTGTATTGAGCAATAATGTTCCTAGTTCCACTGGGCCCTATGTGTGGCAGAGAACTAGGTGATCCTTTGTGTCAAAGACTTGTGAATCAAGAATTCATGGGGAGACATCCTGAATTCAGTGTGGCAGTCGAGTTAAAGTTAGCAATTCTTTCTCGGTGTGGAAATTGTTCTGACAAAAAAGAAAATTAGAAATGTCGAAAATGAGATTTCATTTTCTTTGAAACTAGGAGTATGCAGGGTTAGGTAATAAGGAGTACACCAGGGCTGCTACCCTCTGATAAGGAAAATAGCCTATTGGAGGTGGGGAGATACTGGAGTTCACAACGAGATCTTTTAGTGTAGAGAGGATGATTAACTAGGTCGTGAGCTGGAGTGTCTTTGATCTTCCATGCTTCTGCGGGGCAAGAGTGTCAAAAAAGGAATTTTGATGAGACTGTCTAAGATGGAGAGAAATGAACTTTAAAATTCCCACAGATACTTAAAGTAATTCTTATGAGAAGTTAGAATTGAAGAGATGTAGGTATTAATGCCTACTGTCAGGAACCATCCCTGCTTAGGTGAAAGGCAAAGGAATATATAAAACACAATTATAGTCTCCAAATCTAGAAAATATTCCAGTTCCTCACCTAATGATTGAGAAGCAAAGCAGCACAATATATAAATTATTTCAAGAAAATTAAAGAACAAGTTGGCATTGTACAGAAATTAATAGCCATATGGTCTAGAAATGTTAAACTTAATTTTTTTCCATTTGTACAGGGGTAAACGCACTGTATTAAATATGTAAGGTCTTATCTACGTGGGTTTGATTACAGAAACTAATAAAGTATTCTCTAAATAATGAAAAAAAAAAAGAAAATTAAAGAACACAAAGCAGCTATTCCCCTATGGTCAAACAAAACAATATTTGAAACAAACAACCCCAAGAATACTAAAGGCAAATTTTAAGTGTTCAGCTTAAAACTTTCACAGTGCTTAGTTGAATAATTTGAGTAAATATTTCTTCTGATATAAAAAGAAAAACTGAAACACAGAAAAACATTTTCCATTGCTAAATAATCAGTATTATTTTTTAATTAATACATTAGGGAGAAATCATGTATCATAAATTAATTCCTATTTTGATCATTGAAAATCTGTAACAGAATGGGAGAAAATATCTTCATCTTTATATTAAGGAATCTTTGGATCTCATTTATGTTTTTGTCTTTTTTTTTCTTTGACACATTTTAGATGTCCAAGAAATGGAGGAGGTGATTAAGACCTGCCAGGAAGGTCCAGATGAATGTCTGTGTGAAGTAGCAGTCACAATTAGTAACCCAGTGGAAGAAAGAGTGAGATTGATAACAACTTTTAACTTGGGCTCAACTCATAAGCTTGAGCTGATGAGGAATAATGGGAACTCTTTAGGGATGAGCACTGAGGAGTTCATTGAGTGTCAGGACATGCTTCTCTATAGTGAGCCTGATGAGATGCATGCTGCGTATACACCTGGTGTGTCTCCTGTAGTTGAACAATCCTTCAGATATTCTGAGTATTTTAGTCAAAATTATGCGAATCCAAATGAGCTGCAGTATTTTGAATTTGGTGGAGAAGGGAAGGTATTAAACTCAGAGACTATATTCTTTAGACATAATTGGGTCTGTATGGGAGAGACCTCCTATAACCATAGTGAATATAGAGAAGACTATGATAAGTCTGCTCTCCTTGCCGAAGAGATACTTCAAGGAGGGAGGAAAACACCTGAATGTACTTTATGTGGAAAAACATTCTACGTAAGACCTGTAGTCACTACACATGAGAAAATGTACAAAGGAGAGAATCCTTGTACATGTAATGAATGTGAGAAGTCTTTCAATAAGGAAATGCACATTAGAAAACCTGAGAGCAAATATCCACAGAAGTCCGATGAGTATAAGCAGTGTACAAAATCTCTCTCTCAGAAGTCAGACTTGACTTTCCAACCTCAATCACCCATAGATGAGAAACCCTTTGAATATGAGGAATGCAGGAAATTTTCCACCCAGAAGTCAGGTCTCAGCAGGCATCAGAGAACTCCCAAAGATGAGAAATGTCATGAATGCAACAAATGTGGAAAGTCTTTCATACAGAAGTCATACCTCACTTTGCTTCAGAGAACACACACAGGAGGGAAACCTTATGAATGTAACACATGTGGAAAATCTTTTGCCCGGAAGACACATCTTACTGTCCATCAGAGAACACACACAGGAGAGAAACCTTATGAATGTCAGACATGTGAAAAGTCCTTCACCCGGAAGGCAAACCTCCAGAGACACACGAGAATTCACACAGGTGAGAAACCTTTTGAATGTAACAAATGTGGAAAAACTTTCAGACGGAAGTCAGACCTCACTTTGCATGAGAGAAATCACACTGGAGAGAAACCTTATGAATGCAACAAATGTGGTAAGGCTTTCAGAGGGAAGTCACACCTCACTTTGCACCAAAGAACACATACAGGAGAGAAACCTTATGAATGCAACAAATGTGGAAAGACCTTCAAGTGGAGTTCACACCTTGGCATGCATAACAGAATTCACACCGGTGAGAAACCTTATGAATGTAACAAATGTGGAAAAACCTTCACCCAGAGTTCACACCTCAGCAAGCATAAGATAATTCACACAGGTGGGGAACCTTATGAATGTAACAAATATAGATCTTTCAGGCAGAAGTCTTCCTTCACTTTGCAGCAGAGAACACACACAGGAGAGAAACTTTATGAATGTAACAAATGTGGAAAGTCTTTCAGGCACAAATCAACCCTCACTTCACATCAGAGAACACACACAGGAGAGAAACCTTATGAATGCAACAAATGTGGAAAGACCTTCAAGTGGAGTTCACACCTCAGTAGGCATAAGAGAATTCACACAGGTGAGAAACCTTATGAATGTAACAAATGTGGAAAGTCTTTCATCCAGAGTTCACATCTCAACAAGCATAAGAGAATTCACACTCGTGAAAAATTTTATGAATAAAATAAGTGGAAAGTCGTTCACCTGGAAGAAAACTCAGTTTGCATCAGAGAACCCACACAGGAGAGAAACTTATGAATGGAGCATATGTGCAATCTTTCACCCAGAAGGCACAGTTATGGCTCATCATTGAACACACATAGGAGAGAAATCTTATGAATAAAACAAATGTGGAAAAAAATTTCAAGAAGTCACACCTCAATTTGCACCAGAGAACATACACAGGAGAGAAACCGTATGAACGTAACAAACGTGGAAAATCCTTCACCAAAAAGGCATGGGTTGGTGTTAATACAACACACAGGAGAGAAACCTTATGAATGTTATAAATGTGGACAGGTATGCCTTCACCTGGAAGGCATACCTCAGTGTTCATCAGAGAACTGAATCACACAGGAGAAAAGAAAACTAATGAATACACCAAATGTGCAATGACTTTTAAGCAGGTGTCAGTCCTCAGTGCATCTGAGAACATATAAATAAATGAGAGAAATTCTCAGCATAATAAATGTAGAAAAACATTTAGCTGGAAGTCTTATCTCTACGGGTATCAGAGACCTGGTAAATGTAAACATTAGAGGAAATCTTTCAAGCCCAAGTCAGGCTTTAGCAAGCATCAGCACTCACAGGAAAGAAACCCAATGCAGGAAAATACTTTTCAGGAACTGCTGCAAGTTATACAGAGAAGCTCTTCATGGCAGAAGTAAGCTAGGTGTAACGACAACCATTCTTTCCTTTTTCTTTTTTTTTTTTTTTTTGGGTCTGGTCATGGGGCCTGAACTCTGGGCCTGGGCACTGTCCCTCGGGTCTTCAGCTCAAGGCTAGTGCTCTGCCACTTGAGCCACCGCGCCACTTCTGGCTTTTTTTTCTTATGTGGTGCTGAGGAATCGAACCCAGGGCCTCAGGCATGCAAGCAAGCGCTCTACCACTGAGCCACCTTCCCAGTCCGAAACCATTCTTTCCTATTGGGCACTCGCTGAGCCAACATTTCTCACCCTCTTATTGTGATGAGTGTGGATGGTGTCCTTGAATGTTATTCAGAAGATTTGGACACAAGTGATGGGTGTTAATTTCTTCCAGGCTTGAGAAATAATTAAGAGAGTGAAGTTGTTGAGTTGTGTCTTTTATAATACGGAATAATTTGTCAAGGTGATTTTATAAAGTCAGAAATAAGAGCTCTGGCCCCTTGAGATTGGACTCAGATCATCCTCCAAGGTGGTTTGGGGAGTCATGGATGGGAAAAGACTGTTATGATTTCAGACAAGGACATAAGAGCTTCGATTTCTCTACTGCTCCACTAAAGTGTCCCACTGTATGTGCGCTCAATGCGTTATAGCACAAGTGACTTACTATTTCCAGTTCAGTGTTTGAATAGAAGATCTGATGGAAGATACCACTCCTTGTTTATTACAAAATGTGCACAGTTGTGAAATTTTTCTCTTCACCTTTTGTCCTCAAGTTCATGAAACATTCAGAAAACATGGAAGGGCACACATTTGGGGATATATTTGCTTTTTGTATGGGTACAAGTCCTGTAGCTTGAGCTCAGAGCCTAGGCACTGTTCTTAAGCATTTTTGCTCAAGGCTAATGCTCTACTATTTGAGTCACAGCTTCATTTCTGGTTTCTTTGGTTGGTAAATAAAGACAAGAGTCTGAACCATTTGGTTTTGGATGAGTAACCCCAAAATAACTTCAGTGCTTCCTTTATATTGAATTAATCACTGGTAATGAGTCACTTGTGATTGATTCATCCTTAGTTCATTCTGTTGTTCTGTTGAGTAAGTTGTTATAATAAACCAGCGTGGATAATATGAAGAGCCTGTGTTTTTTCACTTTTCTGGAGGCTGAAAGTGAAGTTCTGAGGAGGATGAGTTTCTACCATCACTCCAATTTCTCCAGCTCCATTCAGATAATTGTACCAAAACACAATGAAGACATGGTTTTATTAAACTCAATTCTGGTAGTAAGGAAATAATTGGAAACACGGCAAAAATGAGGCCCCAGAAGCTTGTTAGAAGGTGGTTGCCAAAATCCAAGGGATGAGAGAGACAGAAGTAGGACTGTGCTAGATATTTGGTAGGGTAAAATTCAGGTAAAAAGTCATCCTAATCACGTATTTCTCCCTAGGTATAGTCATACAGTATTTTGAAGCATAATACTATGTACTATGATTTCATTCTGCAGTGTTTCATATCCAACACCAAGAACACATATTTCTTTATGATGAGAAGAATACTGTCATTTGCAATCTCAGGGCGGGCTATGGAAGATAGTATATTAAGTCAAATAACCAGATATAGAAAGATACTGAGCAATCTCAACACAAAAAAGGAAATTAAGAAAAATAGACAAGGAAGTGGTGCTGTGGTTTAAGTGGTAGAGCGCTCGCCTTGAGCTGAAGAACGCCGGGAAAGCACCCAGGCCCAGAGTTCAAGCCCCATGACTGACCAAAAAAAGAAAAATAGAGACAACTCACAGAGGTGGAGAATAGAATAGGTGACCATGTGACAATTAGTAATAACTTTTTCCCAATCAAACATTTCATTTGACTACACAATGTGTTCCATGTTTCATTGAGCATTGGTTGTGTACCAACACCTGGAAAGCATACATTTCTTTTTTGATGAAAAGAAGGCTGTCGTTTGTAATCTCATAAAGGGCTATGGGAGGTAATGCATTAAATGAAAGAACCACGCAGAGAAAGACACTGAGCAATCTCACACAAAAATGGAAGCTAACAAAAATAGAACCAACTTCTCACAGTTGAGTGTAGAATATTTGTTTCCAGAGGTATGGAGAGATTGGTCCATATCTTCAGGATCCTCTGTTCAAGATTTTGTTCTTCTTTATCCTTGAGTCAAATGGATCTGAGTCAGCATGGGCTTTTGAGGATTTTCCATTGTGTCATGTGCTTAAACATCCTAGAGTGATTATGTGGGCAAATGCCTTCAGTAATAGGAGTTCACATAGGAAGAACAGATCAGACAGATGATGGTGACAGAAATCACTGTAGCCTGATATCCTTGGTTTCTAATTGAATGTGGAATCTATGCAATATATAGATTACTCTGCCGAAGTTCATATTTGGAGTTGTAGAAATGTTACCTAGGTTCTTCTAATTGGCAAACCATGGGCAAAGAAAGTTGAACCTCAATTCTATTTCCTTTATGTGGTTAAATAATTTGTAGCTCAGATAATAACTGCTGTTTCCTGTGATCTCAGTCCAGTCTTGAGGGAAGTACAGAGCAAAAATTGAAAGTTAGGGATTTTTTTTTGAACACTTTCTCAGATTCCCAACACTGCTGAGTGATGGTAACGAGAAAAGAATCTTAATTGGGTGCTGGAGACAGAGCTCCTTCAACTCTTCATTCCCCTGCATGATGTCATGGAATCTAGATTCAAGAGCAAGTCTTAATCTTTTTTTCTTTCTTTCTTAATCCCTTTCTTAAATACTTCTGCAACAAAGTGATGCTGGGAAGACTGATGCTCTAGGAGATAGCCTGAGCTAGGGGAAAGCTCATGAACCCATTCCTACTGCTTTACATTTCAGTTTCTGACCAAAAATAGGGTATTTTCTAAACAATTTCCCTGAAGGACAAGAGGAAGAGCACACTTGTATATTCCTCTCTCAGCATCTTTTCATTGACCAAGACCTTTCCAGAGCCTTCATGATCTGTAGGTGACCCCCGCCCCTTTGACTAGTGTTCTACTTGGCTCCCTAGATGGCTCAGAGTTCAGAACATCCTGAACCACTTGCCACTTGATGTCTGTGCCGAGAGTTAACTTTGAATGATCAGCCCTGATGAGCTAATCAATGGAGGCCTTGTGGCCTACTGAACTGATTCTTGGAGGATGGTGACAACTTTCTGCTGAGTACTGATCTGAGCCACAGAGTGAGCAAGGCAACAAAGTCAACTGAGATCATGTACTCTCCTGGTCAGGTCATACTCACCAAACCCGGGTCTCAATCAGTCTTAGCCTCACTAAGTGCTTCAGGACAAGATTCCTAGTCACTGCTCCAATCCTTAACTCACACAAACCACTCACTGAGGACCACCCAAGCTGTTTTCCCTCCATCACCCAGTGTCCACTCCACTGTCCCGATGATGCTACCTGTGAGCACTTCTGTAGCCCCCTAATACCAGGGGTTAACAGTATTCTCTCAGCCACTATACCCTGAAAATCCACCTAAAATGTCTGGATTTCCATTTCTAGTATTCTTTATTTGGACATAAGAAGAAGATGATTTGTTTCATGAAACTCTATTACTATATTTACCTTTTTCTTTTATTTATGCCAGTAGTTAGCTTTAAGCTCATGGCACGTTAGTCTCCTTTGGCTTTTAAGGTCAAGCTTGGCATTCCTTGTGCCACACCTGTCATTGTTCTATTTCAGATGCCAAGTCCTCTCATCTGATGAAGGCAGCCAAGGTGTGCTCTCTTATTTTCTCTCTTCCAAGATGTTTTACAAAAACATTAGAAAAACTAGAATATTTTAAATTAGGGAAATATAAAGTTTCATAGCAAAATTTCTAATAAAAATCGAGTAGTTTAATGGAATTTGGTAACATTTAAAAATATGTGAAGGTGTTGCAGAATTTTTAAAAAGGTGAGGAATATAGATGAACACTGAGCAGTTCCATATGTAAAAGCAACATTCAGAAGCTCCATATGAATGTATCTCCAGAGCAACAGCCCAGATTTCCCATTTCTCAGGACTTTAGATAGAAATATCCTGAGAATATTCCACCTATTCATACACATAAACCTCTTGGCTCTGGTGACAGGGTAGAAAGCAAGACTGAATCATCATGTTGGTAAGAGGTCATCAGAATGTTCACATTGAAGACCTGCCATCACACTGTTTGCCATGGACACTATTGTTTCAAAAAAACTACATGTTATACTAATATGTATGAAATAATTTTGAAATGACAAAAATTGAGCAGCATTTGAAAAGTACTTTCACTGATCATGAAAATTTCAGTGTGAATTGAGGATAAAGGTGACGTAAGAAAAATTAAAATCTACCTCACTTGCAATATCAACCTTACCAATTTCTACTTTTGTTGAGTTTTTAGTTTTGTTGAGTTTATAGTTCTAACAAAAAATTTGCAATTATTTCAAAGACGTGTGTATACATATACATTTTATATATATATATACACATTATATATATAATGTATATATATACATTATATATATAATGTATATAATGTATATGTATACACACGTCTTTGAAATAATATATATATATATATATACACTT